CAGAGCAGCAGCTGGAAGTCGAGCTTTCAGAAGGCTACCGACAACTCTAAGGCGGTGGGCTACTCACAAGATGTATGTGGAAATATCTTGGCAGGTATTTCCAGCTTAGATGCTGCCTGGATTAGAAGTTCTTGCTGCACAGGCGAGAGTGCTGCTAGGTGGATGGGTGTTAGTGTCGACCCCACAACCAGCGGTGCGAACAGCCTAACGCAAATAAATCGTCGCCTTTATTTTCCTTTGACAGAGCTGGGCGGTAGAAGTCGATGCAAGACGCCGAGTGCCCGATTCCAAGCACGAGACAGGTCGGCCTGAGACAGGTGCCGCAACGTACCTCAGCTTCAGCCGTTCTGTACCGTGCCTGACCTGCCGTCCGTACATTGCCATCGCATCGCCCCAAGTAGACTTTGAAGCGTTCCTCTCGCTCGGGACGTCCTCTGTTCTTTGGCCCATCAGATCGGGACGGGACAATGAGACCCCCCTGTGCTGCACCATGAGGTACCTTACCTTTCGTGCCTCCTTAGGTAGGTAGGTTCGCGGTAGCAGATGAAGTGTGCCCAAGTCCAAGTGTCTGTTCGTCAAGCCAAGGACAAGAGACGGTGATCAGACATTCCACCAAAGCTTCCATTGGGCTGCACCTTCCTTGCTTTTTAGACGGAAGTCTAACTTGTCTGACCAGGAACCGCGAGGTAATAGGTAGGCAGGCTGGTATTAGTGTCCGCGGTGCCTTGGTCCGCACGCAGGCGGGTGGAATGCCAGAGGCCGATGTTGAATCCTTCCGCTCCTCTCCGTAGGTTCCCTAAGGCGCGTTCAAGAGCCGGCATCCCCGCAAAAGAAGAGGTGCACTTGAAAGACGATCAGCAGCAGCAGCAGCAGTAGCAAGCAAGCAGTCAGGCCGTGTGCCAGCCAAGAGTTATGGGTTATGATCAGTGGAGGAGGCGTCCTTGCTGCAGTGTTTTTGGTGTACCGAGGACGCGGCGGCAGCGGCAGCGCCTCTTCCAGTCAAGTGGAAGACCTCGCTAGCAGTGACAAAGCAGTACAAAAGGGCTCGTCGTCCGCATTCCACATTCCTTCCCGCCTTTTTGCGCCAAGGGGAACGACCCAAGGACGAGGCTTAGCCTGATGGAGACTAGTCTAGCGAAAGGGGGTGGCCGCCTGCAAGTTGAGCACGGCCGGGTGCACCTCTCAGCACCTCCCAAGACGGCAACAAGCCAATCACAGCCGCAGCCACGTTCTGGGAGCCCAGTAAGAAAAGAGCAGCCAGAGCGAGCCTGTGAGCCTGGAGGGGGAGGAGGAGGAGGAGGAGGAGGAGGGCAATCCCAGCAGACCTCACACCAGCCTACACTGTGAACCTAGGAACCTAAGGTACAGCAGAGGGGAGAGGGCCCTCAAAAAAACCGTGCTGATCCGCGTCCCTTGCCCGTCCAGTCCAGCCCAGTCCAGTCTTTCTCCCTCTTGTCCTGTCCGTCTGTTCCCCATTCCCTCTACAGTATCGCTTTGGTGCTACGCTGCTGGCCGCCTACACCTGCGCTGCGCCTGCACCACCGCAGTAGGGGAGGTGCCCTGTCGAGTGCGCTTGCGCTTTTTTGGCTTTCCTGGGCGCGCTGCTTCACTTCTGGCCCCAGGACCCATATTTTCTTTACTGTGTTCGTCCCTCTGAGTGGCCATCATCCCCCGCCAACACCACCATCACATCCCCCGGTCGCCTTCTTCTTCCTCCATTCCCTCCACGTCCCTCACCACCCACAGCCAGCCCTTCCCACGCCGTACTCAGTGCCCTTTGCCTGCGTTTCTGCCTTTTGGCACTGGCTCCTCCTCTTCTTCCGTCCGACTCGCTTGCCTTTGCCTCTGTCTTCTGCCTTTGCATCTGCGCTGCGCTGCTTGCTTCCGGCCTGCTACTTACACTTACTGTCACTACGCGAACGGGTCCCGACCGCCCGACTTTCTTCCAGGCCCTCCAGTCTCTCCCTGCTTCTTCTCCACACCCATCTAACCTGCCTGTCCCATCCCATCAATCCATCCAGCGTTACCCACACTCGATTCACCACTCCTCGCTCGCCCGCCACGACTGCCCGCAAGTCAAATGGTCGCCGGCCCATTTCGACCTCGCTCCTCGACGACAACTCCCGAGAGATTCGAACTCTCATAGTACACGCTTCCATTCTGGATTGACGTCGCCAAACACCCATCACCATGGCGATAGCCATGGGCTGGCAGAAGCCCGACAATGTCGCCGGCTCGTCGGCCCCGGCCATTATGGTCGGTCTCTTCGTCGCCTCTGGAGGCTTGCTCTTTGGCTACGACACTGGGTAAGCACCCAACACCCGCCCACCGCGACCACACGAGACACTCCTGCCGACGCGTGTTGCTTTGCTGGGTTGTGGGAAACTTGAGGCTGATTTTGGTGGAAAATAGTACGATTAACGGTATCCTCTCCATGACGGCTTTCAAGCGAGACTTTTCGACAGGCTACATCGACAACGACCGAAAACCCGGCATCTCCCCTTCCGAGTCTTCCATCATCGTTGCGATCCTCAGTGCTGGTACCGTTCTCGGCGCGCTTCTTGCCGCTCCCATCGGCGATGCCTGGGGCCGCCGTATATCTCTGATTCTGTCCATCGGTGTTTTCAGCTTCGGCGGCATTTTCCAAGTCTGCGCCCACAACATTGACATGCTCTTGGTTGGACGGTAGGTCATCGGCTGTGTTGGGTGGTTGAATTGCGACGAGCGCGTTGCTGACGAAACATGGCAGGTTTTTTGCTGGAGTCGGAGTTGGGTCCATTTCAGTGCTCGTACCCGTCTATCAATCGGAAATGGCGCCGAAATGGATTCGAGGAACCCTTGTTTGCGCCTACCAACTGTCCATCACAATAGGCCTGTTGTCTGCATCCTTTGTCAACATCTTAACCGAACGACTCGATTCTGCCGCCGCATACCGAATCCCCCTCGGTCTTCAACTCGTATGGGCCGTTGTTCAAGCCCTCGGTCTTCTTATCCTCCCCGAAACTCCTCGCTTCCTTGTCAAGAAAGGCAAGCCCGAGGCTGCGGGCCTGTCGCTCAGCCGCCTCCGACGTCTCGATATTACTCACCCTGCTTTGCTCGAGGAGCTGCAGGAAATCGTAGCCAACCACGAGTATGAACTCACGCTAGGCCCTGACTCTTACAAGGAAATATTCTATGGATCACCTCATCTCGGCCGACGGACTCTCACCGGATGCTGCCTGCAGATGCTGCAGCAACTTACGGGTATCAACTTCATCATGTACTACAGCACCAGCTTCTTCGACGGCGTCAAGCTGGAGAATCCGTACCTGAAGGCTCTCATCATCAATATCATCAACGTGGTATCGACAATCCCTGGACTCCTGGTCATCGAATCTTGGGGTCGACGCAAGCTTCTCATGGTTGGCGCTATTGGCATGGCCGTCTGTCAGCTCATGATTGCGTCATTCAGTACGGCCGCTGGCGATAACCTTCAGCAGGCTGCCCAGACAATTCTCATCGTCTTCTGTGCCATTTACATCTTCTTCTTCGCAGCATCTTGGGGGCCCGTAGCCTGGGTCATCACGTCTGAAATCTACCCTCTCAAGGTCCGTGCGAAGGCCAACTCGATCTCGACTGCGTCAAACTGGCTTCTGAACTTCGGTATCGCCTACGGAACCCCCTTTATGGTCGGGTCAGGACCTGGATATGCAGACATTGGCCCCAAGATCTTCTTCCTCTGGGGTGCCTTCTGCATTCTGGCAGTTTTGTTTGTCTGGTGCATGGTGTTCGAGACCAGCAAGATCAGTCTGGAACAAATCGACGAAATGTATGAGCGTGTCGACTATGCCTGGAACAGTACCCGCTTCGAGCCAAGCTGGAGCTTCCAACAAATGCTGGACGAAGGATGGTCACCCAGCGCTCAGCCCCCGCCAGAACACGAGCTGCAACAAACACAAACCAATTCATCAACCCAGACGACGCAAACGAATTCGAATTCAGCGACGTCAACAAATACTGGCGCTACCGGGAACTCAACATCAGCAGAAGCAAAAATGTTGTCGCAGATGGGCAATGTTGACTTCAGTTATTGATCTTTTATACCCAATCTATTATATCTACTGTTACTAGTACCGCTCTTTTTTTAACTTGTTTTTTTCCAAATCATATCCCGGATAGCAGCGTCGGAGTTACGATGTCAAGGAGTTTTACGGGTTTACTGGCTACAGTCACTGACGGGGGGGGGTCGGTTCTTGGTGTTTTTCTGGCGGGAATGAAAATGCCACTACACAGCGGTCGTTTGGGCAAGGATGAAGGACTAACGGTCAATGTTGACGAGAATATCCCATCACAAACGATGATGGACGTAACTTGAATGGCGCTTTGGGGCCGATGATATACTAAACCCACTTCTCCGGGCTCGACACACTACTGTGACAAAACGGCGGAAGAAGGCTGATATTCATCAGCTACTCAGAGATGAGGGTTGCAGTAGCTTCGTTCTCGTCTATCAATTTGACTCAAAATCACTTCTGAATCTCTCGGCCGCTGTGACACTCATCAACCCTAACCAAAAGTGCCAAGTTTTCGTTGGTTAACACGTATCATTCCGGCACCATGATCTCTCTTCGATCAATGTAAGTGCCCATCCTTTTGTAGCATGCATAATGGTTCGCGTCGAAGTGGATGGCTAACAGAGGTGAGGTGAATGTCATCAGCCCGCTCGCATCGTTCCCAGTGAAGGCCATACCGTCGGGCTTGAGTCAACATTATGTGACTCTCTGATGGGATGTTGGTTGCTGGCTTCAGATGACGAGCTGCGGACGAAACCCAGTACAACTTCCAGGTCGCGAATCAGCACCATTGCACTTGCCCTAACCATTCACGATAGGTCAGCGTTGGTGAAATACTGCGTCACACGCCGAAGAATATAAATGTCAATAGGTCAACGTCGGTTTGCAAAATCACCAGGAAGCCCTCTGAGAAAAAGTCACAAAAGCTGATTCTGGATATCGTTCTACATGGAGCAATTCCAACTTTTAGACGAGCATGTGTCGAACCTCATCCTCCGCTTTGGCTTCCTGGATGTTGAGGATTTGCCATTCGCCACCAGCGAGGAGGTCGAGAATGCAGCGGCACTGGCGCTACAGATGGCGGCGCCTGAAGAGCTCATCGAAATCGCAGTACGACAAAGCGCCCATCGACATCCACACCCAAACCCACCAAGAGCAGCAGCAGCAGTACCGGCTCGACCTGTGCCTCGTCGACCCCCGCCGCTTCTAGAGCCTGAGCCAGAAGACCCCAACCCCGGCGCCTACATTGACTGGCAGGAGCGCAACCGCATTCTCGCAGACAGCCCGATCGAGCCTGACGACGGAGCCGAAGAAGGCGGGGAGGACTGTATCATTTGCTCCGGCGGCCGTGAGCCCAAGTTACAGCTCCCGTGCGGATGCTGGTTCTGCGCGCCCTGTCTCAGGGGTTGCATCCGCGCTGGCTTGAGGCAGGGCGGGTGGCCCCCCAAGTGCTGCGAGCCGTTGCAGAATGATGCAATCAGGTGGGTTAGGAGACCTGGCTTGCTGAGGTTGTATAGGCAGGTCAGGGAGGAGCAGGAGACGCCTGGAGATCAGAGGGCTTACTGTTCCCGGCCCGGGTGTGCGGCGTTCATACCCGCTGCTGGACCGCATGTCACGGCCGACCTCATGAGATGTCGCGCTTGTGGCGAGGGGACGTGTCGGATGTGCCGAGCCGCCATACATCCTGGTCGACCGTGCCGGGAAGAGGAGGAAGACGAGATGTTGATGGATATAATGGACCGAGACAATCTTGCGAGTTGCCCGACGTGCAGGAGGATTGTCGAGTTATGGGATGGGTGCAATCATATCACGTGAGGAAAGCACGCAAACACAGTGACTGGTCTGGATGACTGACACATATGTTGGATAGATGTGAGTGCGGCCATCAATGGTGTTTCCTCTGCGGAGGGGACTGGAGGGGCGGGTGCCCACGGGGCTGTCCACAGTATGGAGGACGTGAACGGCGTGTTCCTATGCGTCAACGCGTGTTTCGATATCAGCAAGGCCGGGGGGCGATGGATCACCACCCACGCATTCGACCACAGGGAGCGATCCCTGACGCTCTCCCACCGCCAGCAGAGCCTCCAAATTTGCTTGAGCTTCAACGGCAAGTCATCGCGGAGCAACCGCCATTACCTCCAGCATTTCAAGCCCGCGTTGTGCCACGACCAATGCCTCAAGGTGAGTCAACGCCTTTCCGCTTGCTTGCGAAAGGTTTCGAGAAGGATAAAAGAAAGCGTACAGCGAATGCTGATGGACTGAGAGCAGTGCTTCCTTTTGTACCCGTCGTTGAGGACGATTTCGAAGGACATCCCGCCAACTTTGACCCGGATTTCGGGGGTGCTCTACCGTTGATTGATGTTGGCGACGGTCCGGAACCAGACCACATTGATCCAGAACCGATCATGGCGAACGCAAATGGGCAGGCACGGGGCCAGCAACGCTACTACATCATGATGTTCTACGCCGATGGGAACAACACAGAGGTCAGCTGGTCTCTCCTTGGCATCTGTAGCCTGGCTAACCATCTCTGATAATAGGTTGGAGACCCCAATTGGAGACGAGACAGCCCGGAGAACATGCGCCGGATCCGCGAGGGCGACGAGACCGAAGGCAGAGTATGGCCACAGTACGCCATAGAACGAGAGGAAGGGCGTTGCAACCACCAAACACATGCTCAGTGGGAACTCCAGCCACAGGAAGAGCCGCCATGTTTCTACTGCAGGATCAGGGACGGCAGACAACTTTGGCACTGCCGCAGCTGTGGCGTGACGGCATGCGACTGGCACCGGTTCCTGCGGTTTGGACTGACTTGGCAGCAGGCGATTAGGACCGTGAACAATCTGAGGAACAGGGTGACGGTTGATAGTGATTTTCGGTATCCGAGGGCTAATGCGAACAGAATTGAGGCGTGGGACTTGTTTTTGGAGGGTGTCAGGCCCCGGCGGCCTCGAAGGGGTCAGAGGGCTCCAAGGGCTCAGAGGCCCAGGAGAGGTGAGTTTCTTGCGCGATCCTGGTAAGGAGGTAGACTGATGTTGGCAGGGTTCTGGGCAAGATTTTTTGGCGTTTAGAAAGACGAGTAAGTGATAGACCGCTAAACAGGCAGAGAACGACTTTGCACGATTCCATGCCTGTGATGTAAGGAGTAAGCGGTTATTGAAGGTCTGCCTTTGGAAGCAACAGCCTTCGTTCATGGTTGTATAAAAGACCCTCGTCATCATCTATCTGCGGAAGGGTCCTCTCCGGAGCTGCCATCTTCGGCATCCCACTCCATATTGCGTGGTGTTGGCAGTCATCCTGATCTGCCAGGGACAAGGGTACATGATTGGGGGATTTCTGATTTGACCGGTTTTCAGGAACCCGGAAAATTGGCAACACTCGACAGGCCATGGAGACCTGTGGGAACTCGATGGCATGCTGAGCTGCCTCCAATTTGAGAAATTGAGAATGGGTTTCCTGGGGTATAGCAATAAACTATAAAATGTCTGGTTACACCCAAGGCGAACCGGGTAGGTGAAGCCGTCGCTACTCGGAGATCGGCAGCATCAATACCATAATTTTGACAATGGCACCGACAATGGGTCTTCCGGTTGCTTTCCTGGCCATTCTAAGCGGGGCCGCCGCCCGCGACATATTTGTGTCCCCAACCGGCACCGGCACCGGCACTCAGACGGCGCCGTATGGATCCATTCAATCGGCCGTCAACGCCGCCGTGGCCGGCGACACCATTTACCTCCGCCAGGGCACCTATGCGCCTTCTGCGAACATCCAATTCTCCAAGAGCGGAACCGTCACGTCTCCCATCTCCGTCCGCCCGTATCAGAGCGAGAAGGTCATCATTGACGGCGAGAATATGCCTGGGTGAGCATTGTTTACGCGTATAAGTGATCTAGAAAACCGCCGAGAAACTAACACTCATCAGCACACCCAAGGCGCTGGACGAATCGTTGCCCAACTCGGAGCGAGGCATCTTTCACATCCAGAACGCCAACTACTGGGCCTTCTACGATTTAGAGTAAACACCAACACATGCCCCTCTCATTCATCACAAAACCCTCTAAACACCACTCTAGGATGATCAACGGCCCCTACGGCATCTACGCCCGCGACGCCTCGCATAACTACTACAACGGCCTCTCGACGCACGACAACTACGAGACGGGCTTCCAGCTCGAGGGCGCCTCGTCCAACAACACGGTCCTCAACCTCGACTCATACCGCAACCGCGACCCGCGCAAGAACGGCGAGAGCGCCGACGGCTTCGCGTGCAAGTCGGGCTCCGGCGAGGGCAATGTGCTGCGCAACGCGCGGCTGTGGGACAACGTCGACGACGGGCTGGACCTCTTCATGTTCGCGTCGCCCGTCACGCTCGAGGAGGTCTACAGCTGGGGCAACGGGTACAACCGCTGGGGCTTCAGCCCTTTCGAGGGCGACGGCAACGGTTTCAAGCTCGGCATCACGGACAACCCGCCCGCGAACCACGTCGTGCGCAACTCGATCGCGTTCGGCAACTTCAAGAAGGGGTTTATCGATAATGGCAACCCCGGCGCGTTGACGTTTGAGCGGAACACGGCGTGGAATAATGGGGACACGGGTTTTGTGATGCGTAGTTCGTCGTCGAGGATGACGGGGAACATTGCTGCAGTCAATGTTGGCAGCGCGCAGGTTAGTCTTGTGAGCACGGTGACTGCGACGGGGAACTCGTGGAACTCGGGGTCGTGGTCCAACAGCTCCTTCGTCAGTGTGGATGCGTCTGTGTTGAGGGGGGCGAGGGGTTCGGATAAGAAGGTGAAAGGGAGCAATTTTTTGATTCCGGCGTCGGGACAGGCCATTGGTGCGACAACTCTCGCTGAGGTATAAGACGAAGGGCCAACAGGGTGGATTGATGTATATATTGTAAATGCAGGTATCGGAACACGCAAAGTGGGATTCTATGTAACTCATGTAAACTCCGAGTTGGGTCTCTGAGCTCGGTCTCCCAATTAGGTCTTGCTGAAGGACAGGTCTTGCTTGCCCCCGTGAAAAGCTTGGTTATCAAGCTGTGAATATCGTGCTGGAAGCGACGGTAGCCGTTGAGGCTCCCATGGAGACCTCTGTGTTGTTGTTTTTCGGGTGCAGCTCAGTGCTTCTTATAGCTCATGCATCTAGAATTACTCCGAATATTATCAACATTTTGAAGGCACGACTGTTGGCTAATCGAGTTTTGACGTTGGCCATCCGTTAACCAATCTGTAAGAGACCGAAAGGTATTACGCCACTAAAATAATATGAGAATCGCTCGCGTCTCCGTATTGAGCGGCGCGTCGACTTGTGGGGAATGATTTGGCCTTTCACAGATGGATCTGGGCCACATCGCATGTCTCACCACTTGGCGATCTGGATCTGTGAGGCTCTCGCACTTGAGTCTGCTGGAATGCCGTCCGGGAGCTTCGCATTGGTTCTCATCGGTGGTCCGTCACACGCAAAAGCATTCCAGACAGTCATTATGCGTGACGCGGCATGGCAAATGGCTATGCACGAACGGTCGCGGCAGGGACTCCTTCCGCCCCTGGCTTGGGAGCACAGAAGACGCCTTTGTTTGAGCAACGATGATCCATGGTGTCTCCCTGAGAATTATTTGCAAGCAATCCGTGATATTGCTAATGGAAGCTCTATCATTCGATGCGACTTTGACACTGGAAAGTTTGGGGACGAGAACCAGCTTGTGGAGTTCAACGAGCAGTCGCTTACCGAGTGTAACATCGCACAATGGTCCCTACTAGATTGGATATGGAATTGGAAGAAACAACATGATACTGGCATAGTTCCCTAGAACTGGCCTTGAGATATTGTCATCAAGTCTCAGCCCAGAATCTTCAGGCTTTTTCGATTTCTGAGCCCACTCGCGTGGTGATGCCGGAATGTGGAGGAAAGTGATGAATGGTTTTTGTCAGTTGTATAATCCGTAACTATGGGTGATTATCTACAATGATGGTGCGGGTTTCCAGGGGGAAAAGTAAAAAGAATAATATAAGCGCTTACTTTTGGTACTCCTATATTACCGGCATGCCGTGTAACGACTCCCGTTCAACATTCAGCGGCGCCGGATCGGCATTCCGTGCAGGGACCCAACGTCGGCGACGGGCTCATGACTCAGCTCGGCAAAGGCACCAGTTAGCCGACGAAACCGGAGAGACAAGCTCGGGCCGCTGCCGAAAGCCCGGGGAGGAGGCCCGTTTTCCTCTTTGGGCCCATGAATTTATGACTAACCCAATCTTGCCGGTCCGCCACATCGGCGACTTGTCATTTCGCCGACGTCGCTGCAGTGGTTGTTAGTGCCAGTCTCAGTCTCGCTCTCTCTCTCTCTCTTCCTCTGACGCATCGAGACGCGAAACCAACTCTGTTGAAGTTCAACAACACCAAACGGCGGCGCATTGTGAGATGCGGTAAAAAATCCACCACCTTTTTTGTTAACTCTCCCCCTCTCTCGGCATTCTGTCGAATGTCCATCTCTAATTCCCCATGGCAGCATGCAACAGGACCCCGCCCAGCACGGATGTTGGCAGCAGGAGCCCCCTGGCAGACGGGCCCCTGCCACCCGTAAAGTCGACTGCGTGAGCTGCCCCCTTGCCAAGCCTGTCAAACACACATACAAGATACACACCACTGACATGCCTTATCTTCAAGATGTCGTCGGTGTCACTCCCGAAAGGTCAAGTGCTCAGGGGAGCACCCGTGCCAAAACTGTCGGCACGCTGGCAAAGGCCCCGAGTGTACCTACCCGCGACGGAATAGGCAAGTCAAGGTCAGGCAAAGGTAACGGAAGGCTTTCGTCAGGAGCGCCACCCCCGAAACTCATTCTTATGTGTGTTGATCTTCTGACGGCGTGAAAAGCTACATTGACGGCCTCTTGGACGAAATCCGTCGGCTCAAGAGTCAGAATGCCCACAGCGCGCCTAGTTCTATCAGGGACGACGTCAGTCAGATAACCACCCAGACCAACACCAGTAGCTACATCGGCAACAAGGTGACTACGCCGTCTTCAGGGCGGGGAGGTAGCGACAATGAGGAGCCCTCAGAAGCCGCCACACTAGAAGTGAGACCATGGTTCATGAACGCCAACGTCTTCCGCACCCCAATCCTCATCAGCGAGGTAGCGGACGCGGCCTTCACCACCCGCTTCCGCCAGGTCATTTCCGACCCCGAAGAGCCCCAGCCAAAGCACATTCTCAGACTCAACTACGCCCCAGACAAGGAACTGATGACGCTCGTCAAGTCTGACATCCCATGGCCCACGCCCTCCAGGTCTCGGTTTCTCGTAGAAGTCGCGCTCAAGTACGTCAGCAGACGGTACCACGTCGTCCGCCGCAGCTCCATCATGGAGAACTTGGAACAGAGTATCCACAACCCTTCGTGGGGAGACTTGATGCTTCGGTCGAAGCTGTGGGCACTCTTCGCCATTGGTGAACTCTACTCGACCCGCTCCATCCCGTCGGAGAGGGACTTTCCGGGCATGGCCTACTTTGCGAAAGCTTCTAGGATACTCGGCCTGCTCGATGAGCGGCCTGGCACAGACTCCATTGAGATTATGCTCCTCCTTGTACGTCCAACCGTGAATCATCGGCTCGTCGTGTCGTGGGTCCTAACTGTCGCAGTCCTTCTATTCTCTAGTGCTCAATCGCCGGTACAGTGCCTTCGTCATGTCCGGGACAGCTATGCGGATGGCCATAGTGATGGGCCTCCATCTCAATATCCCAGAATCTCAGCTTCGTGACCCCGACCTGCGAGAGCACAGGAAGCGGCTCTTCTGGACGACGTACATCTTTGATCGTGTGTGGGCCTCCAAGCTGGGTCATCCAAGTGCCATACAAGATAACGACATCGGCGTGGATCTGCCCTCAGAACCTGTTGTCGGCCAAACCTTTGGCGCCGACTTTGACGATGCCGCATACCACATCGCCAATCTGCGTTTAGCAGCCCTCGTGACAAAGACTGTCCGCTCAATCTATGGTCAACGGAATCAGGGAGATGCCACTCTGTCAACAAGAGTGCAACAAGCCTTGAAAGACCTCCGGGCTTGGGTCGAGGATTTGCCCACCCACCTCCAGATCGATAACCCAGACTCTGGACCAAAGCCTATTTCCCTTCACTTGTCCTTCAATCAGGTAAGATCCTCCCCCGCTTCCTCTAGATAACCGTGACACACTGCTAACAAAAACAGTGTGCCATCCTGGCCACGCGACCCATCCTACTTCACATCTTGCGCACGCAAGTCGCCTCATGGCCCTCATCATCCCCCGTAACAGACGCACAAGTACCCGCCAGCGCCATCACCCTCTCCGAGGCCTGCATCCGCTGCGCCCGCCACTCCATCCGCCTCCTCACAGACTCCTGGATCGACGGCTCCTTCGCCACCTTTGACTACTTCTACACCCAGTACCTCTTCTCAGCGCTGACCATCCTCGCAGCATCGAGCCTCCTCGACGGCCCCGAGAGCAGGAGCGACAGGGAGGCCTTTGAGGAGTCGGCACGGTTCCTGTCCCAGCTGCGCGACGCCGGCAACTTCGCCGCCCAGGAGTACTGCCACCACGTCGATGTGATGAAGGCGGACCTGGACAAGGTGTACGCCAAGAGGATGGGGCTGGCGCTCGGGGAGCAGCATACACGCGGGCTGGCGGCCGAAGACGTGTCGTCGCGGTTCACTGGGGTTGGCTCGGCGATGTCGCAGTTTGGCCCCGCGCCGATGCTGCCGGCGCACACGACGGCGGGGATGGCCCTCACGGAGCCGTCTCTGGAGGAGCTCCTGGCTCAGCCGGTGCTGGATTTGCAGTTTTTGGAGGCCTCGTTCTACGATGACCATCAAGGACTGTACTGGCCGGACTTTAGCACAGAGAACTGGAATGATTTGGCATAGATACCCCAGTCATACACGCAGGCGTTATATTAATTCATAGCAATTGATTGTAGATCACATTTTCCCGGCACAATCCTGATGACTTGTAACACCTTTACACATTGAGTGATCAGGAGATCATTCATCATTGAAGGATTCGTATTAGGTTCTACTACCAGGTTACCATACAGGCGTCGGCCGGAAGTGGATGCTATAAAGAAACTGTGCTCAATAAAGCCTGTTTCGAGCTCAAACCGAGACGCCGCCCATGTAAAAATTCATTCCCTCGCCCATGCCGTGTACTACACAGCAGTAGCATTATCAGACTCAACGCCATCTCGTTAATGCCTACCAGACACCTAATGAGTGTCCGGCGTCGATGGCCTGGCCGTCTGCTGTTGTTGTTCAGCAGTCGGCTGCTGTTGCTCGGCCGTATGCTGCTGTTGCTCGGCCGTCTGCTGTTGTTGGTTGGCCGTCTGCTGCTGTGGGTGGTTTGTGTAAGGCAGGCTGTTCTGACTCTGGTTGACGGGCCGGTAGGGCGCATTAGTGGTGGACTGGGCGTTCTGACTCTCGCTGTCGACGTGATGATTCTCCTTCACTGGGCGGCTGTGCAGTCTGTCCCTGCGGTGGCGTTTGATACCGATAACGTGAAGTATTAGGGACATGACGAAGGAGACCCTTTGTGGGCATGGTTAGAGAGTCTTTGGCTATTGTTGGGGGATAATGACTAACACGATGAGGAAACCTATGACGGTCAAAACCATCAACACGGAGGCGTGCCCCCAATTGTATCTGTCGGCCTCATACACGCCTCCCACGGCGAAAATGGCGGTCAGGACGGAGATGGGAAGTAAGTCAGGGAGGAAGATTATGTCGAATGCGAGCACTACCCAGTCTGATTCAGACGCAAATGTCAGCATGGTGCTTTCATGAGAGGTGGAGGAGGATTCGTACAATTGTAGGCTTTCGGCGCGTGGTAGTAAGAGACGAGGTGCCAGAAGTTAAAGACGATGACGGCTGAGCACTTTGCGAGGCGGCGCGTTAGTCGACGTGGAGCTCCTTCGGTGATGCGTGCTGCTGGTACTTACAAAGACGAGCATATAAATCTGAGACCAATGAACCGTAAAGATCATGGACCACGCGCAGAGGACGAGGAGTGATACGGCGAGGGCAACCTGGAGGAGCCTGAAGGCCAAGTAGCCCGTTGGAAAGATCGGGAGATTCTCAAAGCCAGCATCCCGACTGGAGGCATAATGGACGCTTCTCGTCATATTGAGGATGCTTTCACAATGATGTGGCGATGATTTGGCGACGTAGAGGGGATTGAGGGATGTTGAAGTTGTATTTGTATAGAGGAACGATCCAGACCAGTTGAGTTATAAAGAGAAAATAAAAGGGACGGTGAAAGCAGCCCCAGAAGCCGCCTGCCGTTAAATGCATATGATCTAATAGAGCAAGTGCGGAGATAGAATGGGAAGGCGGAGGGACACAACCCCCCCCCCCTCCCCCCCCCCTTAGGTCGCTTTTCACAGTGTTGGTGCTTTGGACCTCCTTCCGCCAGGGAAAATGGGGCAACGTTAAAAATACTACTAGGCAGGCGTGTTGACCTGCTCTTTCCCATGACGCGCCACGAAAGGCTACTGATCACATACAAGCAGGCAGGCAGGCACACATACACTGCGATCACCGGCAAGGTCTCGCGATGTGGTGGTATTCGCGGGTAGGAGCGAGGATCACTGGAGGCATTCGAGGCGCCAGGGTCAAGGAACAGGAAGCTTTGAGGCAGAAGATTGAGTAAGGAAGCCTTGGGAAGACTGCCTTTGGGGAAATCCAGGGTAACGAACCAAAGGACTTCGCAGGAAGTATGGTCCACGTCGAGAGTGATAACCACGCGATGTTGCGGGCGGCAGAGAGACGGCTCAAACGGCTTACAAAACCATTGCTACATCCCAGGCGTTGGTTTTGGCTTGCGGTCGGGACTGATCGTAAGGCATCTGATTGCCAGCGTGCATGTGCAGTAATTGTGGGAGGTTTGATGGCATTTGAAGCTGAACGGTAAGGCCAAGGGGATCAGCCGGTAACCCTGTCATCCCAGGCCTACTCGGGAGGTTCAATATTGTAGAGGATGAAATGGGAGCGCCGTCATGGCGTTCATTAGGGAAGGGCCGTCCTTTTGGGTTTGTAGGGCCGACTGCAAGAAGATTGACATATGCATGGAGCTGAGGTTCTCGCTAAGGTTTGTTGTCAAGGCATGAGTATCACCTGGGGATTTGCCAATCGCTGACAGACATTGAAATTGGCCTTGGCGGTGTGTGGTTCAATGTTTTGACTGAAAATAATCCAAAAAAAGTGTGCTTGACAGGCCCAAATGATATTCATTTTGTGGTTATGAGCTCGCTGTCTATCGCCTAGATCCTCCTCCGCAAGTGTTTGCCAGGTCCAATACAGCTAGAAAACACTGCCACATTCAAGTGAAGCCATACTAAGCCGCACCAATTTCCACCTCAATATCAACTTCACCAGTACTACCATCAGAAATGTCTCATAATATGATACATCTCGCCGCCCCCTCCACTCAGCCTCTGCAAGGCTTTACATTGTTCCCTTACACCTGCTTAGACCATGTTCTCGGTGCAGGAGGGACCCTTTGATGGGCACTCCTTAGCCGCACCCAAGCTAGATCCAAGAGCGGTCAACACAAAAGTCTACGCCGCCTTCCCATGGACTTGCATGGTACAAAGTAACCGCGAAATTGGATTGTATTCGCAGCGGGAATTGGTGTCGAAAGCATTTGTGTCGTTTCAGAGCTTCGACATTGGGACAGTACGTGAATCTGCGACCACCAAAGCTTCGTTGTAGGAAATCGTCGTCCGGTTTTTCGTGGATGCTCGGGGAAACCAGAAGAAGATAGTCGCGACAGGAAAGAAAGGCGCATCATCTGTCCTTGAGAGTCTGTCTTGAAAGACGCAAAAGGCAACGAGACGTCGATCCGTTGTGACTTCCCCTCGTAACATTCTGTTCCTAGGAGCCCCCAAAAACGGCTCCCGAAAACGGCAGGTACGCTAGGAAGAAATAGGGTTGATGGCGATCGGCGGCCATGAAAGATTGGACGAACGGTTACAACGTCCCGGTCCTCCTCGGCACGTGCCAGCATCAGTGCAGCAGTGGATCGTCTGAGGTCATTGACGTTGTCAAATTCAACCACAACTGCCTCCCGACACGTGCGTAAGGCCGTATGTTTTTTCGAGTTTGAAAGGAAATCGACATGAAGGAAAGACACCTCCAGAAATGCCAGTCTGCCTTCACCGTTCCGCCCTGATCTGCGACCGATGTCCGTGTCGTGTCGTGATACCCCGCATTATGCAGTTCAGGCTCCAGCGGGGGACATCGGGTGTTGCCACGCTTGGTAAGCGATGTAGGCTTGGTACGAGCTGATGGCCAGCGAGAAGAGTCCCAGGAAGACTGCGAAGAGGACGCCGATCAAAGTTGCAAGCATCATGCGTCGGGTGCCGATATGCCTGTCAAGCTGGCGTTCCAGGAGACTCCTAGGCTTTGGGTTGAGGACTTCGTGGTGGAGATCCTCCAGTCGCTTCGCAAGGTGAACGAAGCGGACCGTCTCTTCCCCCTTGTTCTTGATCGTGTCGAACTCGATGTTCTGAATGTCTGGGTCGAAAGCCCCGCTCTTGACGAAAGATGCCAGCATCTTTCGGGATTTCCTGTCCGAGACTGGGAACAGAACGCCCTGCAGGGACTCCAGTACCTCCAGCATCAACTGGCGGGGAAGGGCTCCTCTGAACAATGTAATGTCAGTCATCTGCATGTAATGGGTTTGATGGGGTAATCTTACGCTTTGAGAGCATCTTGGACGGTGGAGTTGCTGGGGAGGCTCCTTGTGAGCCGGAGGTGCTCCTTGATGAAGCCAGTGTAGTGGAAGACCTCGAGAGTCATGGTCTTCCGATCGAGCTTGAGATGATCGCGGATGTCGTCAGTCGGTCGAATGGACAGGCCCAGCGTCTTTCTCAGCTTCGTGGCTCTGAGATCGACCTTGGTGTCTGCGGTCCCAAGCTGATCAGGGAAGCCGCCAGATTTGGGCCGATCAGAGCCAAAGAACCTCTCGACGAACTTGCTGAGGGGCTCCGCATTCTTCCATTCGGAACTGGGGTGGCCCTTTTCCAGCTCGTCATCCGAGAGGTCCACCGCGGAGCAGTCGGTCATGAAAGCGATGCGGACCGCAGTCTCGACAAGCTCACGATGACCGCCGTCTAGTTCCTTTGGAACAACATCGGGATTCGATCTCATGTGGCTGAGGATATCCTCCAGCTTGGTGATGGCATTCTTATCGAATGCCTTGTCGTTGCGGATGGCAGCATCGCAGAATCGGAAGTAGCTCTCCAGACGGCTGCCCGAGCACGGGCAAGCCTCTGGTGTTCTCTCTAGGCAGGGCGGAGACAAGACCGGCTTCTCGCTCTGATGCGTATCTTGCGAGACGGTCTTGTGCATTGCTTGCTGGTGGTCGGACATTGGACTCGTGTTGTTTGTTGTTGTCTGAATCATGAGCTTGAGATTTTCGAGACGGGATTTCGAGCCTCAATTATTCACGGCCAGAATCTCATTTAGTCAACATGCGTGGTCACAACGCATTGCCCAATGTCGTTCGGCGAGTGGTTGGTCTTCCTCACTGAAGAACCACACCCACTCGGCCATCCAGTAGAACATCGACAGCACCACGAGGCCAGCCCCGTTTCCCCTTGCCCAATTTCCCAATCGGACTGGGATCTAGCGGTGAGCTTCAATTGAGCCCAGGTGATTGCCTCGTCTTCCACCACGTCGAAGTGGCTCGTGGTCCAACGCATCACGAGACCCACAGTTTCCATCCGCAGCGCTTCGACGAAGCCAATCACCAGCACCGCGGAAACAGGGGGACAAACCAGCACCCCGGCGTTTTCTCCTCTGCATCCCCATCGGTGCAGGTTTCAGCCCAGAACGGCAACGATGCCAGCACATCTGCTTCAGCGGAGCTTCGGGCAACAGACGGAGAATACCACGAGAGTGTGACTCTTCAGGAGAGAGGCATGGACAAAGAGGAAGCTCAGGATCCGGGGTAGACCCGCCCCCATCGACGCCCAAAATGGACTCGGGAATCGCTTAAGGACCGATGGTTTCCCAACAGCCAAAGGATGACGAAGGTTGTGCTGTTATGGCACTGTTGACAGACGACGTTCTTGCGGTGAAGGCATCGAGAGGTAGCTCGGCAACGCCGATTCGATGTCCGCTCTCGTCCTGTCTCCGTTCCATGCAGATTCTTCAGTGCCTCGAAAAGTCCGATCGTGTCATTGCGGCAAGGAAAGGCCTCCCATCCCCGATATGGCAGGCCCTCGGTTCTCGGCCTACGAAGGCTTTTTCAGAGCGGCGGCTATCGTGTCGTCCAGGAATAGCTTGCCAGAGACGAAGACCTGGTGTGGAGCCTCGTTGCGGCCCGAAGAACCCTGGACCGTCCACGACGCTATGTGGAGACATCGTGGAGACATCGTGGTTGTCAACTCGGGCGGGGAGACAGCCTACGGGCTGACGTGTGGTCATGATTGGGAAAGGCGCCAGGAACCAGATCTCCACTTCCCGAGGGCTCCCGATACCTAGAACTTGGGGACTGGACGAGGAGAGCATCGCGTGAGCGATGGGGGCCGATAACGCAGGCGATTCTAAGGCTTCGAATTCGACGAGGGGGCTTCTGTAACCTGTTCGAGTGACCAGGATGAGTTCAGGATCACGTCAGGGCGGGAATTGAGTCAGGGCGTTCTGTCAATTGCTGGTTGAGGCGAAGTCGGTGAGCAGAGAAGAACATGGGCGATTCCGGTTTGACTCATTCCGCCAGAATGACGGAAGTTCCCCAGATCCCGTTCCTTCCCATCAAGGCTAAGGTACCACAGCACTGAGAACAGCCTCAGCAGCCGCTCATCTGAACGCAATCGTGGGCAGTTTGGGTGATTGCTCCAGGCACGTGTCCGTAGTCCTGGAGGGGCAGGTGAGGCGGGAGGACAAAACGTATACGCGGGAAGAAAAAGAAAAGAAAAAAAAGCTCAGTTCGACCACCGGGATCGAACCTACGAAAACCTGAGGGCTTAACGCACGCCCAGTGTTTTTGCACCCTATGTTTGACTTGCCGCTGGGCCAAGACGGCCTCGGGATACGTTTGCCCGGAACTGTTTTGTTAAATATGAAGGTCCCTGATAGAGGTTGCAGCCCAGGCAACAACCCTTCAATGTAGCTGGAC